CTAATGCTGGGAATGATGGAGGGCAAAAGAAGAAGGGGACAGCAGAGAAAGAGGTGGCTGGGTGGAGGCACGGAAGCAGTCGGCGTGAGCTTAAATGGACTCCGGGGGATGGTAGAGGACAGGAAGGCCTGGAGGAACGTTGCCCATGGGGTCACGATGAGTCGGACACGACTTCGCAACTAACAACAAGCAATAATCTCGTTTTACTGTTCTGTGAGTTGTTGTTTTTTAAGAATTTAGGGAAGTGTTTTGCATTTGCATCCTTCCTAAAGAACTCGGAAAACGTTTTGCCTTTTTAAAGTGCGGAGAGATTTAGATTTGCCCCAGAGCTACTGCTAAATATGAGTAGGCAGCTTTTGGGAATTAAGAGAAAGGGGTGTCCATGACCTACAACCTCTTGGGGAAGATGCCTGCTCTGAGTCATTGGGCTACGCCTCCAATGGGGTTTGACTCACCAGCTATGGCTCTTAAACTGCCTGTGAATATGTATCTTCACTTGCAAGTAGATTATTCATTACTTACAACGCATATTCGGGTGCATTATCGGTAACCATCATTGCAACGTCTGTAGAAATTCTCAGTCCTCCAGGTCCTGGTTGTCCCAAAACTGCTTTTTCTGGACTTCATTCTTTTTTTCTTTTTCTTTTAAAAAGTTTTTTATTTTTTATTCTCTTACATACAATTATAGATATACATTCACATAGTTATTCTTCTTCTTTACATGTGTCATTCTTGGGTATTTATTATTCCATTTAAAGAATTATAATATACAGTTTGGGTTGCTTTATTTACCATCCCATCCACCTGTTGTAACACCACCTTACTTTCCCTTTCTTTTCTCCTTCCCTCCCTTCTCTACTTTTTTCTTCCTTCCTCTTCTCCTTTCCCTTCCTTCTTCCCATACCTCTCCCCTACTCCTCTTCCTCTTCCCCTTCCTACCCTCTTCTCCTTCTCCTTCTCCTTCTCTTTCTCTCCCTCTCATACTCCTCTCCTTACCTCTTTCTTCCTTCCCTCCTCTTCCTCTCAACTCCTATCCTCCTCTCTTCCTTTCTTTTTCTGCTGTTGTGGGTGTCTCTTTCAGCTCTCAATTTCTGTTCTCTCAGGATGGTATTTCCACAAACCCAAATATGATTTAATTTCATTTCCTATTCCCTTTATTTTGCTAGTATATTCCAACTATTCTTTTTTTTCTTTTGAAGACGTTTCGCTTCTCATCCCAGAAGCTTCTTCAGCTCTGACTGGATGGTGGGGGATGGAAGGATTAATACTCCTTGCAGACAGCTGGTCATTTGCATCATTTTAGAGGGTTGTTGAGGCCACTTGGAGGTTTATCTGTGTCCTCAGGGTCACCGAGTGGTGCAAATGGTTCCTATAGTCAGCCATTTTTCCCTCTGGAAACCCATCCCCACTTTCACACCATTCAAAGGTTGCCATCCCAAATTGCGTAGCTAAGTGTCTGTAGAGATTCTCATATAAACCTACAAGTGCTTCAATAAACAGTAGTTCTATTAAGTTGCTCAGGCACCTCCCGCATATATTTTATTTCCTCTTAGACAGTCACACTTCTGTANATCGTAAGGATACAAGCAACAAAGTTACAGTCATACAGTCATAAGTGGGAGGAGATGGGTGATAGGAACGATGAGAAGAAGCATCGTGTCCAACTAGATAGATGGAGAACCTCATCCGTAGAAGCTTCCTGGTTGACTTGCAGCCAGTCTCTTCTTCCCAGGACGGACTAGATCCAAATTCTATACCAATCCTCAACCAAAGAAACTGTCCACTTTGAGGTTGTCCACTTCAGCTTATTCCAAAATTTGATTGGGAGACAAAATAGCCATCATGCAATATCCACCACCTTGGCTTGAAAGCACATGGTTAGACCTTCAGTATCTTAACAGACCTAATGAGAAGGAAGAAGGACTCCTTGGAGAAGAGCCTCATACTGGGAATGATGGAGGGCAAAAGAAGAAGAAGGGGACAGCAGAGAAGGAGGTGGCTGGATGGAGTCACCGAAGCAGTCGGCGTGAGCTTCAATGGACTCCAGAGGATGGGAGAGGACAGGAAGGCCTGGGGGAACATGGTCCATGGGGTCACGATGGGTGGGACACAACTTCGCAACTAACAACGACAACAATTTTAGCAGACGGAGCCTTCTAACGTTGTGTCCACCTCTGCCTTTTCAGCAAGAGCACACAGACATCTTGTGCAGCTTGAGGTTCACATTGGCTTTTGTCCACTATGTGATGGAGCTCGCCGCCATCAAAGGTAGCGCCAATGAGATGTCCAGCTCAGTGGCCTCGGAGTACCAGCTCCAGGAAAGCGTCGTTGCTGACCAAATCAGTTTGCTCAGCAAGGAATGGAGGTAAATAGCAACACCCAGGTGGGAGGTCCAACCTGTGGCTTCAACCCAAGGGTAGGGAAGTAAACGAACAACGGTGTGGTTTCCTTCTGCATCTCCACTGACCTCTTGTTTTGTTGTGTTGAAGCTACGCGGAACAGCTGGTCTTGTACTTGAAAGTGGCTGAATTGCTGTCCGCCGGACTTCAGATGGCCATTGACCAGATCCGGGCAGGCAAGCTGTGTCTCTCTTCCACCGTCAAGCAAAGTAAGTATTTGTGGACCTAAAACCGTGCAAGGAATTTTTCATTTCCCCAACAAGCCTTTCAAAGACAGTTTTAAGTAGCCGTAGAGGCGAGAATTTGTCTTTGCTTACCTTCTGGCCATTGGGAGAATTGGGTGCGTCTTCCATCATCTTAGTAATTATTGTCGCTCAGAATTTCTGTCATGGTTAAGGCACGAGGGTAGACACTGGGAGGGCAGGAGTTCTAGTTCGCAGTTACGAAGCCGGTGAGATGGTTTTGGGACAGTCGGTTTCTTTCAGCCGTAGGAAGGAGGCAGTGGCAAGCCTGCTCTGAAAAACCCCGCTAAGAAGACTGCAAGGGCTTGTTCAGGCAGAAGGGAGGAAGGAAGAAAGGAAGGAAAGACAAGGAAGGAAGGGGAGAAGGAATGGAAGGAAGAAAAGAAGGAAAGACAAGGAGGGAAGTAGGAAAGGAAGGAAAGAAAGACAAGGAAGGAAAGGAAGGAAAGAAGAAAAGACAAGGGAGGGAGGAAAGACAGGGAAGGAAAGAAAAAGAGGGAAGGAAAGAAAGAGGGAGGGAGGAAAGATGCGGAAGGAAGGAAAGAAGGAAGAAAGGGAAGGAAGGAAAGAAAGACAAGGAGGAAAGGAAGGAAGGAAAGACAAGGAAAGAGGGAGGGAGGAAGGAAGGAAGGAACCCTCACAGATTGAGAATGAGTATATCCACCTCAATAATAGAGCCATCTACTAGATCCCTGGGACCTCCAGGTTTGGTGACATAATCTGGTCTTGAAGTTCTTCAAGAACATCCAAAGGGAATGGCGCTAATCTAATTTTCATCTTCTCCCTTGTGGTCTATACTTGTTCCTTTCCCATCTTTTTCCAGTTGGAGACGGTTCTATTTTGGTTTTATATTTAGTTTGTTCTGAAAGGCAAATGCGGTTCTGTTGTTTTGTCCAAGATCCTGATTGCTAATCTCGGAGAAAGAAAAATAACACCTAAATTAACCTGATAGGAATTTCTCAGCACTTAGCTATGTGCTAAGCTAAGGGCTTAAAGATAATTGATGTGGGTGCGACTTAATAATTACAGAGTTGGGCCCAGGATCTTACATTAATGTGCCATCACTCAGCCAGTTGACTCATTCTTTGGCAAGGGTTGTTTCAGGGTAGAGGGGGAATCATAGGAAGGAGATGACGCCTGTCTTTTAATGTCACCTTTTAGAAATGCATACTTGGTTTTTCATTCCAAAGCATTCAAAATCAATAGAGAATTCAGCAGGGGGAAAAAAACAGCTTTAAAAAGAAAAATGCACGGAGCAACCTTTTTAAAAAGAGACAAGTGAAGCAGAAGTAAAATAAAACATAGAATGAAGAGGCAGAAAAAATACTTAAAAGGTGCTCTTAAACAGACACGGTGGTTCAGTGGCTAAGACGTTGGCTCAGTGGCTAAGACGTTGAGCTTGTCAATCAGAAAGGTCGGCAGTTTGAATCCCTAGCGAGGGAGCTCCCGTGACTTGTCCCAGCTTCTCCCAACCTAGCAGTTCAAAAGCACGTAAAATATGCAAGTAGGAAAATAGGAACCACCTTTGGTGGGAAGGGAACAGCGTTCCGTGCGCCTTCGGCATTGAGTTATGCTGGCCACATGACTGCCCCCTAGAGTCAGGAACGAGTAGCACATATGTGCGAGGGGAACCTTTACCTTTTACCGTATTAAGAGGCAAAAACCCCAAGATCGACAAGCTCAGCATCTTAGCCACTGAGCCACCGCATCCCTTCTTAATAGGGTACTCAAGGTTAATTGATTGCAATCGGTCCAGGGACATTCAGGGCATATTCCAGAAAAGAAAGACTTGGGAGTCTTGCAGGAAGCGTGCAACCGATTTTCCTTTCTGGTGAGTGACTTCCTTCCTTCCTTCCTGTCCTTCCTGTAGTTGTGAGAAAACTCAACGATCTGTATAAAAGCAGCGTCACTTCGTGCCATCACCTGAACTTAAGGTTGCAGAGGTGGTTCATGGACAAGCAGAAGCTCATGGACCGCATCAACAGCATCACGGCGGAGAAGCTCATCTTCAGCCACGCTGTGCAGATGGTAGGTGAGACCTGACCGGGTGTGGCATGGTAGGATGATGGTGTTGGTGGTGTTGGTGGCAGCAGTGGGGGCTCAGATATGTCTCTGGGTGTGAACTCAAGTGTTTTGATCTTAAGGCAATTAAATGTCAGGGTTCCAAATAACACCCAAAATTAAATCAGAGTCCAAGGCAAAGTATTGCTCAAAGTCCCAATTTATGAAGAGAGCCACGTTGGCACATCTGGGAAAACCCGAATCTGAAAGCCTCCCGGTTTTCCTCACCCAGTTGAAAGTTCATGATCCTACCCCAACACCTACAAGTCCATCATATAGTCCAATATTCCACTGCCATGCTGGCAGTTCCACCCCTCCAGTTCTGGTCAGGTGCAGAGGTGCAGAGACAAAGGATGACCTTGGCTTTCTAGAAAGGAATTTTGTTATGGCTACATAGCATCTAACTCCGTACCATCNTTAAGGAAGGACTAGAACTCATGGTCTCCTGGTTTCTCATCGACCACCTTTATCCCTCCACCAAACCAGTTTTTTTGGGGAGAAGAGAACGAGGGGGTCACCTCAATCGAGCAATTCTTTCGCTGCTTAGCAAATCTTCCTTGTTGTATGGTGTCTTACACAAGTTCCAAAAATGTTCGGTGTGACCAGAAGCCTAAAAAAACCCAGATTGCATTTTCTAAATGTCCCATTTCTATCCATTTTGATCACGTCTTCCTTTTAATGTTTGGGATTTAATGTTTGGGTTTTGTTTTGTTTTTGTTTTAAATCTAGGCAAGGTCCCCCTTTGAATTCAGTAAAAACTCCAGCTCCCAAAACCTGTTCACTCTCTTGGCCCACCAAGCTGTTGTCATCACGCCAACGAGGAACAAGACCCTGCCAGATTTGAAAGAAATGGGACACTTGCCTTACCAACAAGGGGGTCTCAGCTTGAGGCCAATGGAAGACGCCAAAGGCAGGTGGGAATCCTCACAAGCAAAAATAAAAGTCAAAGTTGGCTTGCAGACAGACTAACCCAGTCACATGTGGGGTCCTTAGAGGTTTCTGAGCTTGGTTTGTTTCCTTGCAGATGTTTCATGACTCAACTAGGTAACATCATCAATGCTAGAAGTGGGTGGGGTTTGCATTTTTTTGCCTTTCAAAATGGGCTGCGGCGGAAAAGATACTCATTTTTGATGAGCTTCTCCAATGTGCTGCTGCAAATTCACATCCACTACACAACAGCCAGAAAGGTTACCCCCCACCCAAACTGAAAATGCTCTCCAAATTCATGAAGACCTAACCCTAAACAAGTTTGTCCCCCAATGGGATTTTTCCCACTTGTTTTACCAGGCAATGTGGGCAGGGCCATCTCTAAAATGACATTTTCTCATTTTTCAGATCACTCAGCACTGGCCGCCTCACCGACCTGCTTCTGAAAGCTGCTTTTGGGGAAAATGGCAATAATGATAGCCTCAACAACGAGAAGCCCATGGAGATAACAGGTGCTGGAAACTGAGAAATTTGGGGGTGTCTTCGTGGTTGGGGGAGGGGTGGTTTCGTCCTCAACTGATCTGCCCCCCCCCTTTTTTTTAGTCTACAAAACTTTTCTCCTGCATCCATGAAACTGGAGTTGAGATGTTCATCCTTTCTCCCTAGCTCCTTCCATGGGTTGTGGAGGAATCCTTCACTCGGGGGCCAGAGAAGGTGGCTCAGGAAGCCCTTCACCAGTGGTCTTCACCGTTGGGTCACCTCCTGCTGGGACAACACCACCGCAAACCACCCGAACCAGAATGTATTCAGGTACCCCAAACTGTTCTGACCCAGGTTTCCTTAAAAATCAAGAATCAGTCTTGGTCCCAGCAAAACCTCTTTTATTTACACGACTGTGAATTCCTTTCATTTACAGTCAGCAAGGCTTAGCAAACAGTCTTTCCGAGGAACATTTATCAACACGAACCTTATCTCGCTTGGAGAGCTGCCAGATAACTAGTGTCCAAACGCAGGGCAAGGCAACACTTGGCACAGAGTCTCTTACAGTCACAAACAGAACTTTCCACTCTTGAAACGACCAAAGGAATGAATTGTTTCCTGCAAAAGCCCCCTCCACATTTGCTCCTCTTTTATGTCCTATGGGAGGGGCCAATCACCTCCAAGGTGTGGCTTTACTCCCAAGTCGACCCTGCTTTTGTTCTTGTCCTGTGGCAGCTCTGCGCATGCGCACACTGGGAACAGGCTCCAGCTGTTCCTCTGCCTCACTGCTGTTTAGCTCCCGGTCTCTCACACAGAGCCCTCATCTGAGCTTTCCTCAGCCCCCAGGACTGGCCCATGTTCCTCTCCAACATCCTCGATGGCCGCTGGTGGACCACAACAGCACCTGGGAACCAGCATGTATTTATTGATGAAGATTGCAGAGTTC